AGAAAAACAAACTGATCCCGGGTGGCACAATACGCGACACCAAATTTGTGAATAGTTGCGCGGATCGCAGAGATCGCAGTAGTACTTTATAATTTTTTTTTTTTTTTTTTTTTTTTTTTTTTTTTTTTTTTTTTTTTTTTTTTTATTACTGAAACTCCAATATCGACAGCATCTCAAACGCGCCGTCAAGTGCAGACAAGTGTGATGCAGAAATTTTGACGGTAACTGACGGTAGCACGTAGAACTATTCGCGTTCTTAAACCCGCCGCGAGAGGGCCCGCATTAATTAACAAACTGTTAACCGCGATTATTTATTTTATTTACTGTATGTATACATTTTGAATACACATTGTGTAAAATGTAATGTACACATATAAATTAAAACTATAATATATGAAAAATTTTTATTTAACATAATGCGCACAATATAAATTTTACACAAAGCAAAAAGTTATTTTCAAAATCGATATTATTCTATTTTGCGATCTAGTTTTTGCGATTATCTTTGTTTATCTTGAAGCACAATATACAAATTGACAATTTTGATCGAAGATGATCGAAGCACAAAATTATATCTTTTCACTTCAAACACACCAAACAGGTTCACTTCTTAACTGAGACAATTAGTACACGCAATTAGGATTTTGGAATAATTGATGAGAACGTAATAAAAAAAATAGTCAATTTTAGACACATTTTAACTGTACAATTTAATGAGAATGACAGAGAATAAAAACATACGGATACACTGTGTTTGCTCTCAAAAAGATCGTTCGCATATAATATTATATAAATCATATAAAAGTCTTCCTGATACCGTAGCACAATTTGTAACATATCAAACGGCCGTAATTGTTTGTTCAAGGAATGAAAACAAATTAAAATTATGCAAAATAATTTATATACATATATATACGTATGTATATATGTATGTATATATGTATGTATGTATATATGTACGTATATATAGAAAATATGTCTCAAAACTAGCGATATACATCTTATATTTTTGAGAATATATTCTGAAATTACATCGGTAGTTTTATAAGACACTTTGTACATGTATATATGTATACACATATATAATCTTACATACGCGCATATTATATGCCCGTCACTTTTACATTTCAGTTTTCAATATACGGCTGTTTGTGAAAAGTTTCCATCGTGAAACATTGGTGTATAATTTTTTTTTTATCAACATAACTTTTGAACACCCTGTAAAGCACACGCCTATGCGCACAGTACTTATATACTTGGAGATAAATATTAATATATATTACATAACTTATACAAATCTTTTAATACTGAATCACAGAACTCTGTTGCAGGGCGAACAAAGCGATAAAATTATACTCCATGAATACACTTCATGTTCACAGTTCTGTGTATTATTCACATCTATACAGAAGGAAAACAGTTGGATGTTATTGCATATATAAAATTGTTTGCACGAATATGTTGATAAATGCGTATATAAATTTTGCATATTTTTCGCTCTTTAAAATAATATTCTTTAGTATCCGTCAGATATATATATATATATATGTCGTCTTCATAATAAATAAGATTCGTGTCCACAAAACTGTATTATTATGTTTCATTCTCTCTAGTTACACAAAGAAATTAGTTATCATTGTTATTAAGTTATCACTTTCAGAGAGACGTTTTAAAATTGTTTTAACGCGATTGAGTACAATATATGATTTTTTGTAACATTATACAATTTATAAATTATTCGGTACCTATGAAATTGCAGGTATTTCGAAATTTACATTGAGATTTTCGGATTGTGCTAATTTAACGATAGTTGATAACTTTACTGCAACTCGGGCGGCTTCGTCGAGATCGTCGATCGGTACGATCTTCAAACCGGCGTTCGCGATCAGAGCTTTGGCTTCGTCCACATTGGTACCCTAGAAATCATAAAACGTAGTTTTATATAAATCTCATTTTATCGATCGTAATTATATTTACGAAATTAAAATATATATCGCTCATCGTGCATACCTGCAATCTAACAACAACGGGAATTTTCAAACTTAGTTCCTTGGTTGCGGCGATAATACCTTCCGCTATAACGTCGCATCTCATGATACCTCCGAAAATGTTAACTAAGAGAGCATGAACCTGAAAAATAAAATAACAAATATAAGAATAAAATATACATATATATAGTGTGCATTGAAATTATAGCAATATAATCAAATGTTATATACTCACACGTTCGTCAGAAGTAATAATTTTAAATGCTTCTTTCACTGCGGAAGTCGTTGCACCGCCACCGACATCAAGGAAATTAGCCGGTTCGCCCCCATGCAGTTTTATGATGTCCATTGTAGCCATGGCTAAACCAGCTCCGTTCACCATGCAACCTATGTTACCGTCGAGCGCGATGTAGTTCAGATCAAACTTCGCGGCTTCGACTTCCTTAGGATCCTCTTGGGACCAATCTCTCAGACTGAACAGTTGCTTTTGCCTAAATTCGGCATTGTCATCGAATCTGCATTTGCAATCTAGAGCAAAATCTGCGAAAAAAAATTGGATTTATAAGTGTAAAATTATATAAACAAAAATACATACGAAAAATCCAACTCTTAACTGTTGAAAAAATGAGACCTACAATTTCCATTAATGTCTTCAGCAAGAGGATTTACTTCTAGAAGAACTGCATCTTTCTTGAGAAATAGTTGGTAGAGATTTATGATCATATTGGAAATGTAATCTTTCACATTGTCAAGACCGAGCTTGCTAACTATACGTTCCGCCTGTTCCTTCGTAATTCCCTTATAAATGTCAATAGGTTCGTACATTATAGCGCCAGGATTTGTCGCAGCAACTTCTTCGATGTTTACCCCACCTTGACTGGAAGCTATTATGACTGGACCCTGAAATTTAGTTTAAAATCACACATATATTAAAGAATTTATTTTCCTTTTGCATTATCTAAATTAGCGTTTTTTTTTATTTTTATCATCTCAAGACCTACACCGAAGGATCTTTCCATCATAACGGCAAGGTAATATTCTTTACGAGGAAACATACGCTGCGTGACCATCACGGCATTGCATATCCTGCCTGCCTCACCAGTTTGCTTCGTGATCAGCAGTTTATTCAACATCTGGCTCGCTAATGCTTTGGCTTCTTCCGGACTGCAAACAACAACAATAAGCGTGTGTACGCAAGTAGTTTTTACTCTTATTACTTAAATACGTATAAACCATTTGTTATGTGATAATTACGTTTCACACATCTTCACTCCGCTAACGTTCGTCCCTTTGAAATGTCCCTTTCCTCTGCCACCAGCGAGCACCTGGGCTTTCAAGACGATGTCTTTCGTTTTCAAGTCGGCAGCAAGTTTGGCGGCCTCATCCGCAGATTTGGCGACGCCGAATTTCGGAGTAGGCACGCCAGCTTCATTAAGCAAACTGTAGCTAATATGTTCGTGTACATTTAAATTTCTGACTGGTTGTTTCACCAAATTGGTTTTGACCGTCAATATCTGAAAGAGAAACGGCAAAAAAAAACGATCAAATGAAATACGTTCATGATAAATTTTTCTTACATCTTGTAAGAATCTTATTTAGCATATCATGTAAATTTAAAAAAATCAGAGAACACTTACATATGCATCTTACTACTAAGTCAATAAAAAGTTGACATAAAACATCTATATCAAGAAATGATATTCGCGCTAAGATCGTAAAAGAAATGAGATAAGATGGTCAAAGTACATGATACATTAGTACTCTGCATCACATATATGTGACATTTAAAAATAAATGTGTACTTGAAGGCTGAACAGTGCCAATGAGAGACTACTGGCATAAACAACTTTATGGATATAATTGGCACAGACAATTGAACTTTATATGCGGTATTGTGTAACACAGAGGTGAAAGTAATAAGGTTGTAAATATTATGAAATTTTAGTTAAAGATCTTTCTTTCACAAAAGAATACATATTGAAGTTGTAAATTTTTTGATATTTAAATAATCAACATTGCGCTTGCTAAAACATTTTCATTTAAATAAAAACTGCGTTTGTAAATGCACTAAAACATGTTGTGAATAAAATATGATTTAAACATGAAAAAAAATTAAAAATCCAAACTTTATATTAATTATTTAATATAAAATATTTTTGTTATATAGAATCTAATTTATAAAAAAAATTGTTTTCTAATTGAAGAATTTGGTGGGGGATACAAGTTTCTCTCTCGCGCATTTAATGTCTGATTAATATCCGTTAAATAAATATTCTCAAGTTGCGTGTGTTTGTATCTTGACATTTGAAGCACGTGCGATAGCTGTGCTTCGAAAAATCATGTTTTAGAGGTCACGCGTTCCTAAACGGAAAGCAAATTCTAAAGAAACAAGGCGTGAAATCGATCTCTCGCGTTCTTACGCATACGAAGCATCAATCGTCAATGTTATTCGAAAATTCAAAATCATCATTTTAAAAATAGAACGATTACGCTCGGGAATAGAACAATTGCGTTCGATTGACAAGTGTCCCTTCCCAGAGCGGGAATAATCGAATAAACGCGATGAAAAACGAGAGCGGAAGTCACGTCCGTCGAGGAGACAACGCGCGCCGAGACTTTTTACGCGCTTATGCAACTGTCACGTCAATTTTTCGTCAAAAACCTGCGCTTCTCGATTCTTGGCTTCGAATTATCCGCGACCCTGGCGCTCAATTTAGCAGACTACACCGTTTAACATGGCGAACGGCCTTCTTATCTATCTGTCCATCTCTCTCTTCTCAGTCTTTCTCGCGTTTGCGTTTTCCTTTGTCTTTCTCGAACCCAATTACACGCGATTATCGGGAGATACTTGATGTATTTTCCTACGTGTGCCACACGCGCAATTAACGTACGCGCAAAAACCAGTCCACTTGACGTACCTTGGGACCGTTTAATCGGCTGAGACTCTCCGCGAGTGAGATCACTCGCGACAACATGGTAGCCATCTTTGCCTGAACGACGGCCGTGTACTGTGAGCCAACAAAGTTTCGCCTGGTTTCGCCCTCGTGGTCCCCACCTTCGATTGACGTTTCGCTTTGCGCGATGCGTATACACAGCACTGACGCGTTCGCGGAACCGCTAAGCGGACAGAGATACGAGTCACGACGACAGCGCCCAGCAAACGATTGAAGTCGATAATCTTTTCACCGGAAAAGTCTGTGTAGATTATATGGAGTTTGTTAACTTAACGGCTTTTCTTTTCGTTATTTTTGTATCTTCGTATCGTTATTATCTTTATTACCTTTGCTAAAACAATTTAAATCTCTGCTATAAAATTGTAATGCTTTATAATTTTCTTTTCTCTAAAAAAAAAAACAATAATATAACAATTATTAACATTTCTTTTAGTTTATTGTAAAAAAAACAAAACAATGATTGCGTGTTCTCTTACAACAATTTTATAATAAACAATAAACTGCATAACAAACGTTTATATAATTTTAAAAGAACATTAACATCTGTTATGTACAAAAAATATATCTCTCATAGGTATGTATATATAAATACATATAGAAATATTTATAAAATTGCTTAAAGGTAGTTTTATTCTTTTTTTTTTTTTTTTAGTTATTTCTCTTCACCGGTGATTTAGCACTGAAAGCAATATCTAAATTCAAAGAGTTTGCAAGATTCATCATCGACGCCATCTTAACGGACGTCGCTGCTGCTTGAGCAAAGTCATCCTCAGAAAATACCTTCAGTTTAGCATCTGAAATCAACTTCTTAGCTTTTTCCACATTAGTACCCTGTGGAAAATTAACGGATTTTAGCACAAAAAACGGCACTGAAAACGTTACAGCTAATGACGTGCAAAGACAATTACTTGTAATCGCACTACCACAGGTACTTTCAAGTGCAACTCTTTAGAAGCATCAATGATTCCTTGAGCGATTATATCGCATCTCATTATGCCACCAAAGATATTTACAAAAATAGCTTCTACCTGTATAAATATCAATCAATTTATAAATTGATGGCATTATTTATAATTCCGCTCACAATTAAATTTCACCGACACTTACATTTGGATCTGACGACAATATTTTGAATCCTTCCCTTACGGTCTCGACTGTAGCGGTTCCGCCAACGTCCAAAAAATTCGCTGGCCAGCCATCGTACAGCTGTATAATGTCCATAGTGGCCATAGCTAAGCCGGCTCCGTTCACCATACAACCAATATTTCCATCCATAGTTATATAATTCAAGTTGTGCTTCTCAGCCTCAACTTCATTCGGATCCATCTGGGTGGTATCTTTGAAGGAGAACAATTCTTTCTGCCGAAACTCGGAGCTGTCGTCGAAACTGCATTTGCAATCCAGAGCATAATCTGACAGATGTGTGTGTGTGATAGAAAAACAAAAGTACATATTGTTGCAAAAATTACTATGCATCTTCTTGTATACAAATTTCAGGCTTACATTTGCCGCATATGTCCTCTATGAATGGATTAATTTCAAGGAGCAAAGCCTCCTTCTTCATAAACAAGTCGTAAAGATTGCTCGCAACAATCGACGCGATTTCCTTGCTGTTTCCGGTAAGTCCTAATTTATCAGCAACACTAGACGCTTGCTCGGACGTTAAACCTTTGTTTACATCGATCGGTATATATGCGACAGCTTCCGGATTCGCGGCAGCGATTTCCTCGATGTTCACGCCGCCTTGCTTGGAGACTATTATCACAGGCCCCTTGCAAATTATTAAGCAGCAGTGAATTAACTCGATCAAATGTTTGATGTATAAATGCGACAATTTTCATTTACACACATCGAAAGCACGCTCCAACATCACAGACATGTAATATTCTTTGCGCGGAAACATACGTGTCGTAACCATCACGGAGTTGCATATTTTTCCGGCCTTACTTGTTTGCTTAGTTATGAGCAGTTTGCCGATCATATTGCTTGCTACTTCTTTTACTTGTTCGGCTCTGTAAGAGAGAACAGATCATCGTCAGTATATATTTTTTTTCTACAATTTTTAACAATCGTCTATTTAGTTTTTCAGTTTTTATCACATTGTTAATACTCACGAATCGCACATTACGACGCCACTGACATTAGTATCTTTAAAATGTCCTTTCGCTCTTCCTCCAGCCAGAATTTGCGCCTTTAAGACGAGATCTTTTGTTCTGAAACTTTTGGCCAGATCAGCGGCTTCATCGGGTGTTTTTGCCACCCCGAAAGTCGGAGTGGGAATGCCAGCTTCTTTCAGAAACGTGTAGGCAACGTGTTCGTGCACCTCTAAGTTTCGCACCGGTTGTTTAACGATCGGTGCTTTGCGCACTAACAGCTACAAATCAGACAATTTTTGAATGAACATTGTATATATACGTATATATATTTAAATTTTACTTACACAGACGAAGAAGTGAAAGAAAATTTAAAATTTAAAATAATTTTTACCTGTTTGTTTCTCGCGCACATTCCTACTATCGACGATATTATAAACGACATAATGACAGTTAGCTCTTCTCGGTGATATTTTATGTTGTGAACTTAACACGCGCGTACTCCATACATTTTTTTTATATCAATTTTTTTCATCAAATATTCATTAACTTGACATTTTGTTTCGCTTTGCAAAACTTGCTCGATCAGCTTTTGCTTTCCCAAATATATATATCATACATAAAAACTTCAGTTCACGAGAGGACTTTGGGCGCGACGACGATTGCTGAATGCTGAGTCGGGTGGGCAATGAGTTTATATTATATATGTAGATATGCTTGCTTCGTTTTTATTTTAACAGAGATAAGTTTGCTACAATTCATATGATCATACTTCAACTGACTTTATGCATGTTTTAAAAATATCCAAGTTAGTCGATCTGTACAACTGCGTCGTATTCCGCGGTTGTTATCGCTTCCTCTCTGTTTGATATAAAACAGTATATATATTATATAAATAATACATATATAAATAATATTATGACGTAAACTTATCATTAATCACATTTTCACAGATTTGTTGAATTAAGAGAAGAGTCAGGATATAGAGAAACTAAAAAATATGTATATTTAAAAATCTATAAAATTTTTCAAAGATTACCTGTTGAAAGAAAAAATTTGTAACTTTTGCTCCTCACATTTGTGTGAGAAATATGTATTATATTTATACTTCTTTCTGTTATTCTGTATTTACGAATGCAATATAAGTTTATTTTTTTAGAAGAGACTTAAAAATTATCTCTGCACGCGCGTGCGTTTCACATAGAACACGTTCAATAATTTTATATAAGCAATTTTAATAATAAGTAAACTACACAATATAAAATTAATCTAACAATTAGTTTTCGTACCTTATTTTTTGTTTAACTTTTTTTTACTTACGTTGGTTTTACAGTTTTATATCGCGCAATTAAATTATTACCAATAATTTATATGTTTAAGATGAAAAAAAGGATTACCTATTACATATGTGTGTAAGTTTCATATACTTACAGATTATGCGACATAAACACCGATATTTTTCAACCGCGTAATTACAGTGTAATCATACAACACTTTTTGACTAATGTTTAAATTCCTAATATTTTTATATTCTTAGAGACGATATTTAATTATTTAAAAAACCACTCAAATTTCTTTTCAATATAGACTTTCACTACTACTTTTATTCTTGACGTCACATTTCAATGTTTAAAAGGCCACTCAGATTTCTATTCATGTTTAAGACCAAAAAAGAGAATATACTTAAATTATACAGTCTGACATATATTTAATGTCAATTAACATATATACGTATAGTTTTATATTTTAAAAATTTTTATAAATTTTTATACTTTAAAAAGTTTATTTTCAAAATTTTTTCATAAAGAAATCAATTGTGCAAGTCGTACTGAATTGTTAATTCAGAAAATTTGAAAGATGTACAGTAGTTCCTAATAAAAAAAAATTAAGATAAATTCACATAATAAAAATAGATGTCTAAAAAGAAACGTCATACTATAAGAATTGTATCTCTACATTTTATAATCGATACTCATTTGTAATATCCATCAATTAATTCTTTCTATACTTTGTGTAATGCAATAATACCAAAAGATTTTTACATTTGTTTTTTTATTGCACAAAAATAAATTGTTTTACTAGTAACAGGTAAAAACTATACACAAATCTTATATTATTCAAATCATCTTGAGAATTCATGTGTAAGTACGATATTATCTCTCTTAATATTAAAAATAAACGGTACACGTACGTACATTGACGTAGTGAAAATATTAAGAGAAAGCGTTACTCTTCAAAAATAAATTGCAATTTGACATTGTTAAGTAAACAAAATTATATTAATATGCGGTGTGTATTAATGTATAGTGTCTATATACATCAATGAAAAGAAAAACAATTTATTTATGCGTTTTTTTCTACATTGTTAAAACAAAAGTTACTTTTTGTTTCTTAAAGAATTAATCAATATATGTATGATCAATAAATCTGTGTAATACAGTACTTTCCGGATAAGAGTCGTTGATTTGGGACAATTAAATTTGAGGAATCAGATTTATTTTCTCGAAATAATCCATAACAAATTTTTCAGTTGCTTAACAAACAAAAAAACGACAAGAGATTAAAAAATCAAGACTCCTGTAGTCTCAATCAATTCTTTGACGTCATAATTAATAATAGGGCTGCAACAAGTGACCCAAGCGTCTTAAGCTGAAAGTAAACTGAGCGATCGAATGAATTAAATTGTCTGGAAACTGTCATAAAATCAATAGTTTTGACAATAGAAATCAAGACGCGACTCCTATCCGATTAGCAGTGTATGAAGCTTGTAACGCTATCATTTAAAAGCTAAATCGATCGTTAAGAGTTCGCCCTGTGACGCCGAGATTTCCCGACAGGCTGTACATAACTTCGCTAAAACTACGATCGTCGACCTCGCCACTGGAATCAGACGAAACTATGTTGCGTGTGCGCGAACGTGATCGCGATCTCGATCTTGAACGTCGGTTGAACAACGGTGCTCGACCAATCTGAAATTTCAATATTATATTATGTACGTATATCTGAGAAAAGAGATTGTATAAATCTTAGAAAAAAAAACATAAAAATAGAATTATATGCTCGTGTTATATTTCAATAAGAAGGAAGGGAGAAGGCAATATAACAAGCTGTACACCTGATGATTGAATAAAATTTTTCTTTATTCAGAGAGTTGACAAACATAAGAGATTCCATAGTGGATCGAAACGTTTGTCAAATTTCTGAATAAAGAAGAATCTCACCCGAACATCAGTTCGTTATTGCCTTCTTCCTTCATTCTTATAAAAATAGAAGTATATAAATAAGAAAAAATTAAAAGAAAAAGAGAATATATACCATATTTAAACCCTGAGTGCTCTGTTTATATGGTGATCGTCCTCTAATCAATGGTCGTGGGCCACCAATAGCCGATGGGTGTCGAGTCTGCGGCAGAGTGAGCGGTCGTTGACGTATGGAGTTAGGAATATATTCGTTTCCTAGTGTACACATGAAGTTGACATTCGAGCTGGGTGTCAATCGAGAGGCGCTGCAATATTGTTGTTAGACAATTCTTTTTTATTTCTACTTGTTTTTTTTTTTTTATTTCTACTTGTATTTACATAAGTTTCGATGCTTTTATGAATAGGAGCGAGAAAACAAAAAAAAACTAAAAAGTAACATTTACAGATATGTTAAATAAGTTTTCAAATGATAATAACGAGATTTATTTCCTGACGATTTCCGACGGAACAGCGTCGCAGAATTGTGATTATCAGTGAACTCTGGAATGCTTACTCAAGAGAAAAATGACACGAGAGACGAAACGATAGCTCTGGTGAGAGATTAAAAAAAGTAGAATACACTTTTGTCTGATACTGTACTATTCGCATTGAAGACATTGGTGTGCATAAAACTGAAGAATTCAATATTAAATTTCTCTTCGTAATCTTTTGAACATTTATATCGAGAACATTATTTTTTGCAAATTTAACAATTTGCTTTAACAATTTATAAATTACAAATATAGAAAAGAGCGGTCAATTTATGTTAAGCATACCGCTTTGACGTAACGAATGAACAAATTTATACTTTACTTTATCCTCATCATTTTTTGCTCGTATTGTGCTCGCTTTTGTGCACGTGCAATTTGATCGGAGCGCAGTCCACCAGTTGTAAAACGACGTTGTGACGTTAATATCTGCTGTCTCCCAAGAGTTCGCGGTTGCGTCAAGAGTAGATTTTTCTGTCCGGGCATCTACAATTTATAATAAATTTATATATACACACATTGTTTCGGTAAATTACATAATATACGGAGTGTCCGGTAAATAGCTAATATAATCGTTTGTGGGCACACATAGAAGGAGAGAAAATTAGTACAATATTTAAATATTTAAATATTTTTTGTATGTAAAAATTATAATGTAAAAGAGAAAAAAGAAAAACCAATGATGTATACTAGTATTTACAACAAAATGTAACTTTCAATGTTGTTTTTTTCTTTATGGAGAACATTTTGTTTCTTTATGAAACTCATTCTAAAAGATAATTAAATAAATAAATAACAAAAATCATTATCTTGACGTTAGAATTATTTATTTTGAGAGCTATGCTTTTGTGGCTCATTATCATTGGCTCTCATTGATTTTTGTGATGTAATATGTATAAAATTATATGGTTGGTATATATTAATTCATTCCATGCGTTGTCGCGCACGTAACAATCGTGAGAGCGCGAAACGCTGGGCTGTCTTACGCACGTGAATGCATATGCTTACTTACGGATTTTTATTAATAAATTTCTTGTTAATTAAAACGAAATCTCGCGAGATAGTAAAAGACGTTTCGACTCAATATAAAACTTCCCGTATGAGTCAACGAACGATTATATGACCATTACCGGACTGTATTTGTATATATGTATATTTAATTTTTTTTTTAACAAACATAGAATATTCAACTTACTCTGAATTGATTTTGCAAATTCAATCTTTGATTTTGTCGCTGTAGCAACAGTTGTTTAGCTCGTTTTACACGGTTTCGGTAGGCGATTTGGGCAGGACTCTGATAGCCCAGACGGTTGTGAACAGAATTCGGATCTCGCAGATTGGGTAGGCTGTTCGCCTTTTGTAACGGGCTCTTGTTGTTCGTAAAGAAACCACCTTGGTTGAAGGTCAAGTTCGTTCGGCTTCTGTTGCGAGTCAAACCGAATCTATTGGTTCGGCCACGGCGCACGTTAAATGCACTTCTTGTGTTTTTCTTTTGATTTAAATTCAGATTGCTGCGCGATTTCGTGAGATTGTCGTTCTTTTTAAAGCGGTTCTTGACGAAACCGGGGCGAGCATTATTTGTATTATTCACATTGCGTTGCCAAGTTTGCTGTTGCTGTTTTTTTATAGCAGTTCCAACATTACGTTTGATTCTAGCGCCTCTTCCTCTGAATCCAGCCCGGCCTCGCGTAGCACCGCGATTACGCTTGATGCCACTGAGTTTTCCATTGGCCGCAGCGTTCTTTTTCTTTTTCTCCTTTTTCTCCATCTTTATGATCTCATCTTAAAAGGAAGAAAACGCGCAACATTTAATGAGGATACGGCAGGTAATTGATTCAAATCTGTAGATAACTTTAACTCAAGACACATTTTTTTTTTTTTTAAGGACAAAGTCGAACGTAGATATTATATCCTGAGAAGAAGGTCCCCAATAAATACGTATTGTTTAATATCTCTTTTCTATATATACGCATGGTATATTTCTGAGAAAATCCATGCTTCTAAAACTTTTTGCTTGAACACTTACTCTTTCGCGTGCACAATATAGAAATATATATTGTACATGATGTTTCTTTTTATAAATAAATAAAAGAAATGAAATAAATACATACGTATTTGTTTTAAAGCTATGACTTTTTATGCATATGCATTTGTAATATATATGAAAATTATAAGTCTATTTAATGTTATAACAAAATTTGCAAGGCAAGTTTTAAATTTTAAGCAAAAGTATGCTGAAATTCCAATAATTTAATTTAAAAAAACATATATAAGCTAGCAAATAGTTTACAGTCAATGCAAGTGAAAAAAATATATATATAATAAACTACATAAAGCTAAATTTGAGAAAAAATAAGTGTAATATTTACAAACTTTTTATTTAAAATAATAAGTACTTTTTTATAAAAAAATAATAAGTATTTTTTTGGAAAAAATATAATATACTTAAGATACGTAAGGTGCAATTTAATTTCTCGTGTCGAATTTTGATGTCCATATTAATTTTTATTCCTATTCTTCATTTTTCGCTTTATGAGTGACGATTTATTATCGCTCGAAAACGGTGTGCAATCGAAGAAAAGGATGATGCAGTTCATGATTCTCCGTTAAATTCATGGTACTGTTCTTCACACAAGAACTTTTACATTGCACTTATTGTGAATTGTACTGTTCTTTTAATATTATACGGATATCTTTTTATAAGCTGAACTTGTGACATCTTCTCCTTCCACCTTCCGTTTGACTGTTAGCTTTTTTTATTATTATTGCATTTGTTTTCATAGAGCCCATATAAATATTTATCACATATATATTTCAAAAACTTTGTTTTAAATATAATAAATCAACTTGTATATTCTATCCTTGGGAGTATGTGCCAGCAAATTCCGCATTTTGCCTCTTCATCATTAAAAAACGGTGCGTACAGAGTACCTGCATTTTTAAAAAGATTGTCCAGTAAATATTACACCAAAGCTTTATTGCGGATCAAACATCATCGAGTAATATCTCAGCAAGAAATGAGATCGGTATTTAGTTTGGATTTATCCTATAATTCATTTGTAGTTCTACCGATAGAGATGCTAAATAAAATAAAATTAATCTCAATCTTCATTATGTGCTCTTGCTACACAAATTTCTTGTTTGGTCGACGAAAAGTGAAGTTGTCATCATGAGTTCCGTTCCAAATTCGTTGTATGTGTCGCTTTTTGCCCGCTCGCCAGTTACAGTCGTCGATAAATGTAAGAGATAAAAATACAGAATTACGCAAGCTCATGTGTTCGCCGTACAAGAAATCTTCGTGAGGAATGAGTCACAGCTGCGACTATTTGGCACGATCTCTTATCGAGACACTCTAAAATCCGGAGTTTATCTCCAACACTTTTTTTCTCTCATGAGATTTATTGAAAATCACCATATTTAAAGAATTATCCTCCAGGAACGATGTTTATTTTTATCGAACAGAAATCTCGTTTAATTTAATTTATAAAGACTATTGTATCATTTCTGGTATCGATGTTGATTTATACAATTCCTTTACTCTTATTTCCAGAATTAAGTTTTTTCTGTGAACAACGAGCATTCGATCTAGCACTTCTCTTGACAATGCACTTTTTGGGGAAGAGATTTTATAAACTTCCTGGGAAGATGCAATATAAAAGAAATTATCCACTTGTGATTGATCTCTGATGATTCAGTTGAGATGAAGAAATCCATCGTTGAGTAAAATTCAATTGGAGATGTTATTAAAGAACTTTATTCCAATGGTGAATTGTTAATCCTTGAACAATTTATAAGAATATCTGGCAAATTATATTTAACTGATGATATATAGATGCCAAAATTGAGATTGTGTAATATACACAAGTCAATCATACAATAACTTTGTGTATCCATTTATATAGTCAAAATTCTTGATAATTAAGAAACATAGTAGCATAAGATTATATATCAAATTATCTATTCAGAAATGAAGCAATTTCTGGCAGAAGATATATTTTTAGAATATAGATCTTAAATTCTTCTTTTTTTTGACATTTTGATTCAATTTACAATAAAATTATTCATAGCTGCTTCGTAGATGCGCTTATTCTAAGGCATCAGTTAAATCTTTCTGAACAGTATGTTCTCGGCAATCATAAAATACATACAAGTATTTAAGACGAACATTGGACAGATCTCTCCTTGAAAAGTTGATGTCTTGATGTTAGTTCTTGATGTGAACAAATTGTTTCCCAGTATTTTGATCCTATTTTCTATATGTAAATCTGTTAAATTCTATTTCTTATGTACTGACTTGTTTCTTCTTGTTAGAAGATTGGAAGAAGAAATATAAATTATTTATAACAGTCTTCTATATAGGAAGATATTTTCTGACAAAGCATCAATCTTCCTTATATCTCAATTAAATTCCTTCATTTTGCAAATCTCCTTTTTGAAGACTAAAGAAATTATCGGCAACTGCGGAGTTGTAAAACCGCTTGAAATGGATGATGTCTTCCCACATTGTCTTGTATTTTTAGATAGTTTATCTTTTTTTTTGTCTGAAGAACATGCAACTATACTTGTGGAACAATTGACAAAGACAATAATTGCATAAAACCAACAGCACGAAAAGGCCAAAAGGATCTTGAACTATTTTTTATATGCTCTTCTTTAAAGTGTTAAGCATATCTCGCATTCTGCCGTTCTGGTGGAGGTTACATCAGTGATGAATAGTAAGACAAACGTAATTTTTCCGTATCATCTTTGTTCGCCAAGTGACGGGAAACGATGAGAACGTATCGTTGTCCAAAACGTACACGTGAACAAAAACAAATGCAGGTACTCTACGTTTACGTACGCCGACGCCATTTTATTAGTCGGAGGACAATATGCTGCGAGCCGTACATGCTCTCACCCGGGATTACTGGCAAAACCATTAGATTGTTGGAATTCTGGCCACTTACCGAGTGACATATTCACTTTTGCATCAATTTCGGACATTTTTGTAGTTCTGTGAGAGTGCGCTTTTCTATGACGTTCTCTTTTAGTCGCCTTTTTTAGTTTTTACTATTAATGCGATACGTGCTAAGATCTCGCACGTATTTTACACGTAATATGCCGTTTGAATCCGATAAATGTCCAGTTTGCTGCTTCTTGCTGCCGGAACCTCGTGAAAGCCGTTCCACGTGGATATGGTAACTAACAACCCGATAGAAACGAGACCATGCGAGATTTATAGCACACACATCACAATCACAGTCGCACAGAAGCAACTTGAGCCAACTCAATGCCATAAACCAACTGAGATGAACGGAAAGAAGCAGCCGTAGAGCCATAAATTGGTTGCGTTCAGCAGAACTTAACGCTTAGCAAGCGCTTTGCTATTATTACTTGCCATTGGCTTGTACTCTCATAGTTTTGTTAGATTTACAAGAAAAGGCCAATCACAGACAATAAGCGCAAAGCGCTTGCCAAGCGCTGAGTTCTGCTGAACGCAGCCAGTGTTAAAAGAAAACGTTAAGGCCTGTTCTACAATACAGTCGTGTTGTATTGTAGAACAGGCCTAAGATCTGTTCTTACGACTTACAGCTTAGGCCTGGTTTATGCGGGCCTAAAGAGCCGTCTACAATGGAGAGTTGTAGGCCGTAATAGTAAGAAATTGACCAATCACAGACAAAGTACAGAAGAATAATCGATTGTGATTTGTCAATTTCTTACTGTTACGGCCTACAACTCTCTATTGTAGATGGCTCTTAAGATTTTAATATTTCTATTTATTAACAGAAGCATAACAGAATATAACAGAAGCATTGAAATCCTATAGTTGAACTGTACCCCAATTCCGGCATAAATTAACAGTTATTACCCGCATAAACAAGGCCTTATTTGCCCGCATAAACCAGGCCTTACGACTGTATTGGGTGCGTTCAGACAACTCAACAGTTGAGAGATCATCACTTATGATAGGACTATTCTTCAAAATCTGCTGCGGTTCCAAAAGTATGATCCAATCAAAAGTGATTATCTCTCAACCGTTGTGCAACTGTTGAGTTGTCTGAACGCACCCATTGTAGAACAGGCCTAAAGCCCCTTGCACAATGGAAGGAATAGCGATAGCGATAGAAATAACACAGTTTTTAACACAGAATTCAAACTCGTCGGAAATTTTATCGCTATTGCTTATTCCGATTTTCTGATCTGCATTGATACATGTGTAGTTTTGTATGTTAGATTCCGCTGTTCCTATCTTTATTTTTAAATATAAACTCTTTAAAACTTTTGTTATTTCTATCGCTATCGCTATTCCGTCCATTGTGCAAGAGGCTTAAGGCAGTAGGTCAGATAAGCTATGCCACTTTCAGTATATATGTTCTAAGGTATATATCTAACTAAAAAAAACTTAAAATATAAAGTGTGTGATACTCTAAACACTTACCTTTTTAAAAAAAGGTAAAAACAGGCGCCAAGTACACGCACAACACGTATTGTATTTTAATTAAATTAGTTTTTTATTTATACT